CATTTTCTTTTCTTTAAAACTTTTAATCTTATTAAAAATTATTTAAAAATGTACCAAATACAAAATAATACTTAAGAAATATATAAAATTAAAATATAAAACAAAACAATTAAAAATAAATTTCTTTGATAATATACGGAACTATAATGAAATTGAACATTATAATTTTTGTTGTTAAAATCCAATCTCATTCTAAATTAAATCTTTTATTATGACCAAACCCCATAATATAGAAAATTTATAGCCATATACACGCGTATATATATATAATATCTATAGAGAAAAGGTTATCGAACGCAGCATTGAAATTGTTGTCTTTATGTGACAGTTATAACATTATTTTTTACAACAATATACATATTATACGTATATGTAAATTTTAATCTTTTGAATGTTCGATCTTTTGATTACAATAATAAAATAAAATAATTCATTTGTATTTTTTCTTATCCTCAAACAATAAATCACATTAAAATATTTATAAACGGTTTTAAAATTAAAATGAAAATTAATAAAAAATTTAAATATTTTTTTAACAATATCATTATGTATATAAGTACGTTATGTGTTAACATTTCACCGGATGTCTGGAAATTTAAAATTTTTATAAAAGATTCTCGCTTAAGTCTTTTGTTTTAAAAAGAAGAATTGTAAATATTGTAATATACCATATATATCTAAGTATATATCACACAAAACGTATTGTAAATTGTGATTTTTACGTCCCTACAGATATATATGGACATTTATTGACGAACATCTACAATTTTTGCATAATACTTCCTCATATCAACTTTGTTTCACTGCTGTAAATCAGAACAGATTTAACATTGATATTGACATAACATTGAATATTGTTATTTTTGTTTTATGGATATTGACTCCATGCTGGTAACTTACCCAACTCACTATAGCCTTTCGCTATTCTTCGTCATTTATTTTTGCTCCTACCAAATTATTCTCTCTGTTTATTCTCTTATATTTTGTTTTTGCTAAGTTTATGCGGAGGACAATGACTTCTGCTTTTACTTTCAAATCATTGACAGCTGCTTTCATATCTTCCGTTGAGTGGCTTACAGTGAATGTGTCAGCTGCATATACCAAACTGCGTAGTAAGTTTCTCGGAGATTTTTCAAGTTATTGTTTTTCTGCTGCTTCTTTCATGCATTTGTTCAACAGTAGTGGAGACAGAAGTACAGTCCTTGTCTAATTTTTGCCTTAATTTCGAATAGACTGGAGGCTTTATAATGTTGATGATTACCGGGTGATTAGGTTGACGAAACTGAAATTCTATTACCCGTTACATTAAATAGTTTCGAAAACCTTTTCAAAGTCTACGGATGTTATAGTAAGCTTTTATATTCGACCGACTGCTGTATTATAAGTATCAATGAGTTAGGTTGTTCGGGACACTTCCGTACATTATGTATGTTGTTAATATTTAAAATTATTTTCAATAATTTTTATTAAAATTAAAAAATTTTGATTTTTTGAATTCCAAAATTTTATAACATTTTAAAGACAATAATATCATGGTATCAAAATGGTTTTAAAATTTAAATCGAAATCTCTTTTATGAATTTATTCAAAAATCAAAAAAATGTGTTTAAAATGAAAAAAATCACTCATTTGTAAAAATAATCAAGTAAAATAACGTTTACATTTGAATTAATAATGGCTTAAACAACGTTTGACAGGCGCAAAATGATAATAAAATAACAAAAACAAAGAAAATTTCAAAAATTTTTGATAGCTCAGGTGAAACTACTGACTTAATAAATTTGTTAAATTTTTTTTTTGCTTCCTTTTGCATATTATCAAAACATTTCTCTTTAATTTGTTTATTAATAATCGAATTAATTTTCATATGTTTTACATAACACCAAAGATGATGGGGTATAAAAAAAAATGTTTTGATTTTTTCAAACTTATTCAAATTTTTTTTGTGTTAATTCATTAAATGGTCCTCTTTAAATTATTAAAAAAAAAGTGAAGTATTTTAATATGTTTAAGTATTTCTACCTCCACAATTATGATTATTTGATGTGTATAGGAAAAATATTTTCGCCGTAAATAGAATTACCCAAAAAATAATAAATATATAGAGGAAAGAAATCAGAAATGTGATAAAATCTTTAGTTGAATGTTATCCGATCAATTTTGAACTCGTAGATAAACTAGAGACCTACCTTTAGGGAACGATAAAGGAAGCAATTATTTCGCTTTACTCATGTGAGAGGGTTATCGGCAACAGGTACAACCACCAGATATGCTTGATTCATTGGCTTTATATCGCGGTGATGAGATTCTGATATGTTGGCCATTAGTCTGAAACAGGCAAGCAAAATTCAAAGGAATGGTATTGATGCTAATATTGATCATAAGTGTATCCTACAAAGGAACCATCAATCTAACCTATCCTAACCCATCCAGTTTATGATACATAACGGGTTTTCGGAAATATTTTTATTTTTTAATTTATTTAAGACTTCTCCTTTTATTTGCCGTTATTATAATTATATTAGAACACGAATTTATTATATACATAAAGATATAGTTATGTATATCGATATTAGAATCCTTTTATAATAACCCTTTTAATTTTTAACTTATGAATTCAATACAAAAACACAAAAATTCTATGAAATAAATTTTCTTTTTGAAAAATCCGTAATTTGTTTTAGAAACCATATCGTAAGATAGTAAGATAGGCAAACGCATCTCTATTAAATTTAAATATATTTCGGAAATATCATAACACTTTTCCTATATCATTATTAAAAACCAATAAAAAGAAAAACAAAATATAAAAATTTACTGGTCCATAATTTCTATCTAAAGTAAAAAATTTATAAAAATATTTAAAAAAAAAATAAAAATCTTCAAAACTCTAAATTTTAATCAAAAGAGGGAAAAAAATACTTTATTAGAAAAAAAAAAACACATTAAATGCGCTTTATGTAAATTAAATTTAAACCTCAGTTCAGTCTAAACTAACAAAAAAAAAAATCATAAACCAAAAATTAAAATATTAATAAATTTGTTAGCAGAGAGTTAAAATTGATAGAAAAAAAAAACAGCAAAAAAAAAAAAAAACACCGTCAAAATATAAAAAAGAAAACAAAAAATGTTATTAATCACGGTATACTCCTATATGAAACCTACTGAATTTAATGTACTCTATGCGGCATTTTTATATTTTTTTCCATATTATAACCAAAACAAAACAAAAACAGAATAACGTAAAGTAAAGCCTGGCTCAACAAACAACTTAAAAATTCAGATGATTTTTTAAAACTTAGTGATACGACGGCCTTCTACCATACAACATCTCTCTCTACAACAAATAATTATCAACGATAACTGAAAAATAATTTAATCAAATATAATCATATATACGCATACACTGAGGAAAAGTAAATTTTTATTTCTCATATAAAAATATTCTTAGCTTCAAAACAGCAAAAAAAAAAAAAAAGAAAAAAATTAATAAAATTAATAAAATGCTGGTTCGTCATCCGTTTTAAAACATCAACGTTTTAAGATAAAATTAAGAGTACTGAATTGTGGTTGTCTTTTCTCAAATTTTTAATTGCAAAAAAAAATCAAACCAAAATTATAATATATACAAAACAACGCAACAATGACTACAATTTAAAAATTTAAAGCTTGGCTTAAACTACAATTCTGTTATTGATATAAAAAATTTCATAGGTTATACTACATGTAGCAACTATACTCTCCCATAAACAACAAATATTATTACTAAAGAATTAAAATTAAAAATTTCTGTTTTGTAGTTTTAAATTTTAAAAAAAGAGAATTTTTCAAAATCGCTCTACATAGTAATAAAAGAGTAGTTGAGAGCTTTTTTAATATTGCGATTTGCGGCTTGTGAGTACTATAGTGAGAGAGTTTCAATATAATTTTAATGTTAAAAAAAATTTCAGAAAATTTTGTGATTTCGCTACAATAAAAATGAAAATATAAACAAAAAATAAACAAGAAATTTTGAAAAAAATTATTTTTTTTTTTTCGTTTTATGTGAATTGTGACACAATCGAGCTGAATTACTACCTTTTTACCAATTTTTGTTTTTGCTTTATTAAAAAAAAAGAAAAACTGCTTCTATGTTTTCACGTCATTTTAAAATAATTTTATGCTCAATTTATCGGGCAAAATAAAAATATTTCAACAAGAAATTAAAAAATTATATGGTGGAAATAATAACAAAAAAAAAAAATAAAAATTATAATAATTTCAATAAATTCAATAACATTAAAGTAAAAATTATAACTAAAACTTTTTTTGATATGGTGCGAAATATTAATTTTTTATACTAATTTGTTTATATGAAGTTGGTGGTAATGTTATGAGTAACATTTTTACTGCATAGTTTTATAGTTTATATAAAATCGCATTCGCAAATTATTGTATTTAGTGTACGTTATACAAAACGTTTATAAAAAATAAAAACTTAATTTAATTAATTTGTGTATATATGCATTTGTATTTAATATTTACTTTTTTGCAATGTGAAAAATAAATAAAAGTAATTATGTAATTACATAATATTATACTTTGTATTAAATTTATTATTTTGTGACAATATCCAGTTAATTATATTTTAAATTTTCTTGTTTTAATATAAAAATGAACATTAAACAATTTTGTAATTATATGTGACTTTTTAAGATAAATTTTAATTAATGAATAATTTTAAACATTTAATTATGAATAAATTTTAAAAAACAAAATATTTTGCTATGTTAAAAATAAGTTAAAAAATTTAAAATTACTCCAAAGTGAGTTGAAATAAAATTAATTAAAAAAAAAAAAATTAAAAAAATCATTGAACTCATTTATCATTTTTTTTTTATGCATATATACATTTTTACATTTACATAGTTAATTTATAAAAATTTTCATTAAAATTTTGTTATTTATTTTAATAAGTTTTCATATAATATATGCGTTAAATAAAGTAAATTTTCATCTATATTACAAAATAAGCAAAAAAAAAATATATAGAAAAAATGGCTCGTGTATTCATTATCATTTTATTTTTTTCGGTTGTTATTGCACAAAAAAATAGTTTAAATAGTTCAACTGCTACAAAATTATTAACAGAAGGTAAGTTTATTATAATTAATCAAATATGTTATTTCATTTAATTTTTGTAATTATTTCAAAACTTAAGAATAGGAGTCAAAAATTAAAACTATATACATAGTTTTTACTAATAAAAATTCAAGGAGTTCTGTAAAATCACATTTGATACTATGTAAAGCCCAATAATTTTGTACGGGAATTGAAATATATATTTGTTTATATTGTATTTGATTAAAATATATAGGTTATTTTTACAGTAAAAATTGATCTTTTACAAAATAAATTATATTTTAGACTTATAATGAAAAGAAGTTTTCTATATTACAATAAATCGAAAAGATTTTATAATAAACATAAAGAGTTTTGAACCCGAAATTCTAGAAATTTAAATTGTTTAGAATAAAAATTGAATTTGATAATGATTTTCTATTATAATAATCTACAAGTTTTTCAATATAGTAAGATTTAGTATATGTATTTACAAAATGGCCATTAAACATGTTTTCTATATATATTAAAAAATTATTTTTACATATTCATATACAGTACATGGCTGTTATTAGAATATTTTTAAATCAGTTTTTTGTTATAAATTCTCTTATTCAATTTTCAATTGTAATACATTGTTCCAAATTTCATAAATAAGAATGTTTAATATTGGATTAAATTCTAAATTGATTAATGTGTAATTATTTTTTTCAAACAATTTTTTTAAAAAACTATAGCTTTGAATAATGTTCACAGAAACTGGAATATTGCATTGAATGAGAGTCTTTAATATTTTTTAACAACTTTTATGAAGATTTTCCAAACGAGCTCATTTTAAATGACCGGAGCTCATTAGTATGTGAACTAGTTAAATATGGCTAAATAATAAAAAAAAAATAAATTTTTTTTTATCTTTTAAAATTTATTAAAAATTTTCTTTTAAAGTAAAATGAAATTAATAAAATAAAATTTTTCCTTTGTCAGATTTCCTGTCAAAAAGGTTTTCTTTCGAATATTCTAAATTTAAAACAAATCCATAAGTCTATTTCCAATTCAAAAGAAAAATATTTGAATTATTTCATTTGAAAATTGGAACTCTTTTGAATTGAAAGGAGACTTTTAGTCTCTTCTCTTATTTCAAAAAGAACGTATGTAAATGTATTTCATATTAAAAATTATTAAAAAAAAACATTTAATAACATTTGAGCTATCTTAAACACGTGAATATTTTTAATAAATAAATTTTAATTTAATAAATTTTTGTTTGTTTAAATATTAACCCGTGGGTTATAAATATTTATGTTCGAACAATTTATATGCATATAATATTAGAATTACATACATATATTATAATTTTAATAGAAACGGTTCAATCAAAAATCTATTGAAAATCTTCTGCTCTATTTAATTTATTTTGCGTGTTAAAATTATTTTAATATTTATAAAGAAACAAAAATGTTAATTTTATTGAAGGTTAAAGAACTGCTTTAACTTTTTTTTTTTGTTTTAATCTCCATATATTTTTAGTTTTATACGATTGGGTTTTTGGTTTTTTTTCCATTATCATTCATAAACTCTGAACTCTTTAAAGATTTGGTTTTTTTAGAAGTTTTATGAAATTATATTTTGATTTTAAGATTTTACTTTTAACTTGGAAATAAGAACTTTATTATAAATGCAGTATGAGTCAAGGTTTGTACCCATACATGACAAATGTTGCTTAGATCAAGCATAATAACCATGTGACCAAGTGACATTAAAATAATGACAACCTGATGGAGCATTAAAGAAATATTTGATTAGGCCCAATATGAGTAAATAAAAGAACAAGGCGAACGTAAACCAATTTTTTATAAGTTCAAATGTTTTAAATACTTGTATATGGATTTAAGAGTACTCCCGTATGTGGTAGCAATAGATTGTAGGATCAAATAGCAAAGTGTTAAAATTAACACATTTGAACTGAATTGTCTACACTATTAAATTAATATCAAACAACTAAATAGACCTAAAATTCCTTATGTGTTGTAATGTTATAAATTTCGGGTGACAGCGCATCACGACTTAAGAGAATTTGCAATCGCTCCCAACTATATAAGTATTAAGCATTTTGAATATTATAAATATAAATCTGAAATTGAGGATGAAATGTTTCGGAGTGTAGCACCAAATAAAAGCTCTTCTCTGGCGGAAAAAATTTGGCGTTCGAAAAACAATTCGACGTTAAAATTGTATATTGTTCGTTATTATTATTGTATTTGCATTGAGATATAGTTTGATTACATTTAAATAAATAATAATTAAATTTCTACGTTTGTTAATGCTACATTTAGTTTTATGTATATAGTAAAAGAAGCATAGAAAAACTGTAAACATGATATTATGATAAAAATATTATCATAATATTATTTTAGTTTTTATTTTGTTTTAATGTTCAGTTAAGTAACAGTATTAAGGCCGTCATATACTTATACTAAGTCATAAATCTATATTTTACTTATAATAAAATGTCAATTTCAATGACAAAAGCGTAAAAGCGTATAAAAGTATAGAAAAGTTTTTAATATATATAAAAATTTTCGCAAAAATTAAAATTATGAAAACTTTAAAAGAAAAAAAATTAATTTACTGCTAATTACGTCTGTTCGTTTATTTCGGTTTCAATGTATGTGTATTTACACATACTTAAACTTTTTGATATAATGTAGATTTACATTTCACACTTTAAGTATATGCTTTATTTTTCTAAAATTATAGTGTTTGTAAGAAATAATATAATTTGACTGTCTTAACAAATTTTAATAATAATTTTTTAGTCCAAATTATTTTTATATTTTGTTCGAATGATGAAATTTATTAATATGAAAATTTAAATAAGACGAAAATTCGTAATGTAGCAAATTAACTATATGTTGCGAAAATAAGGTCAACAATGAAAATAATTTGCATTGTTAAAATACAAACAACTCAGAGACAGGAAAAATAATAATGTGACAAAATTAATAAAACAATGTATGAAATTATTTAATTATATTTTTTTTGCAAATCATATTTTTACTTTTATATTTAATAATACTCAAAAATTAAAGTGTTAAAAGTTGCAGTCTTATAAAATTTAATTATGGGAAGTGAAAATAGCATATTTTTAGGCTTTTTGAAACAAACTGCTCTAAAAATTAAATAATTAGATAATTTCTGTTGTTTAATAATTGTGAATCTACTGTTAATTATTTACTTAAAGAGTCGTAAAGTAAAGTTGGTATTGTCGAAGTTTTGCATAACTTTATTTGGAATAATTTTGTAATATTAAAAATTTCATTAAGTGTTATTTATTTAAATTGTCTGACCTCAGTATTTCTCCGTAGATTTACCAATTTTCATATTAAAACACAAAATCTGTAAGTAGTACATAATTCGTATTATATAACATTGAATAGTTTTCTTAGCGTTTCTTGTAGCTTTATAAATTAAATTTCTATTTCCATTTGAAAAGCAAATTAAATATAAATTGAAACATTAACCTAATATTTGTTTTTCAAATTTAATTTGAAAATTTAAAATTATCACCTTAAAAAATTTTCTTATGAATTTTTATTAAATTTGTTTATAAAAATAATAAAATTAACACCTGCAATTTTCAATACGATATTATAATTATATTGATTATTATATTCAGAAAAATATGCTTAAATCACTTGCCATAACAAACGAGACGCTTTTAAATTAAAAAAATTTTTTTTGTATTAAATCAACTAACTGTCATATTTAAGTAATAACAGACGAATATTTTAGGAATGTTAAATAGAATCGCGTATAAAGATGAATCAAATTTAATTTAAATATTTTTTGGAATTTAAAAAATAAAATCTTTTATGTTTAAAAAATTATATTGTAATTTAACGATATGGTGTTGATTAAAAATAAAAATTTTAATATTTTGACCTTTAAAAATGAATTTTTAAATAATTTTTTTTTTATTTAATTTAAAGAAAATTAAAATAAGAAAAACAAAATCTGATATGGTCAGTCCGTGTCTTGTATGCTTATATTCTGACAGAAATTAAAAAAAAATTTAATATATTATTAATTTAGAAAAAGGACTGCTGATAATTATGAGTTTTTTGTTCTTGTAAAGTAATTCTTAATTTATAGAAAATCATTAAGCGTTTTGTTAATATTTTTTCAATTTTTGAAATTTGGTTCTTAGTAACATACTTAAGAATCCTTATTAGAATTCATATAAATTTTGTTGTTATTTGGGGGATCTAAAATTTTTAGAATACATATGTAAAGCTATTGTTGATATTAAAGTCGAATAGGGTAAGGGTTATAGGGTTTATAATAGGGAAATAATTTTTATTATACCTTTCTTTATGATTGAAAAGCATATTTCCATTGAAAAATCGTATAAAGAAAATTTAGTATGATCACAATACCTCTCTTATTGTATGAAATCATGACCATTATAAATTTGGATAATATTAAAGTTCATTTGTCTTTTATATTTATGTTGTATTGCATAGTTAAGTTAAAAGTTTTATATGAATTTTATTGCACTCATGGTTCATTGTTTATTTGTAAGATACTAAAAGCATAATTTCAATTTTACTAAATGAGTATATAATTTTTTGGTGTTGAAATTCTTTACAATATTCACTTTAAATATTAATTTATTGCAATTATTATTGTGTATTATATTTTTTGAATGAATGTTGCAATGATTATATTTTTATTTTGGAACGCGTTGTAAAGTCAAATCTATATCTAAACGTTGTTAGCGAAAGCGCTTCTGCTGATTATACAAACCGTTGCAAATAGGTTACACATCAAGCCTAATAGGGGTTCTCATGTCTTTAGAAAATCAAGAAATTTAAACTTTCTTATAAGTATTTTCTAAATAAATCATCTTATACTAATATTCTATATAAGCTCTACGAATTTTTAACTATTCTTTGCACTTTTCTTATTTCTAAAGGTAGACAAACTTGCTTCTGACCGCCTGATATTTCCATTTATACTCAATAGTCTTATAT